TATATATATATATATATATATATATATATATATATATATATATATATATATATATATATTTATATATATCCCAGGGACACCATACGTGGCGACAACACTTATCCTTACGTTGTATCCAGCGCCGGATATTGCCCGGGGCGAGAAGTGGCTTCCGCGCATTCCGCATACCCCAGATACGACAAGAGTATGCCTGTGTACTCTACACAAAACCCTGTCAGAGCGGCCTCGCGATACGGCAGCAGTGTCCCATCAGTCATATCGAACAGACCGCGTCGCATTAATTCAACTACGGCGGTACGTCGGCGCAAAGTGGCCTGTAGGTAGAGAGCAGTGGAGGTATAAAGGTACAGGTCAGATGTATATACTACTATACACAAGGAATGCGTGTGTACATAATTACGACTGAACTCTGCCAGTGGGCTTAATAAAAAGTTAAGGCCGTCTCGCGATAAAGCAGCAGAGTGCTGTTTGTCGTATCCTACTGTGCTGTGCGCAAAGACCACCACCAGGGTTCAATTGACGGTAAATTGTCTATAGGTAGTGCTGATCGAGGGACACTACGACAGTATCATGGAACTTAAGACTGTGGCTGTGACTGCGACAAGATCATAAAAGTGTGAACTCCCACGCACGTGCGCAGAAGCGACCTCATGGTTCTGCAGCTAAGTGCTATCCAATACTAATTGGTAGTGGCACACCATCGAGAAGAACAACAAAATGGCGGAGTATGCGAACCCGTATACTATGAGGGAGATATCAAGTAACAACCATTGCACAGATGAGAATTTGTAGTACACTGAAGCCATGCTAGGTGGCACTTAGCTGTGTCTGCAGACTTGCCACTTCCAGAAAGTGTATCTGAAAGTGTGCTTCAGCATGCACCACTGCCACCAACCAATTAAACAAAACACCCGCTTGCTATTCTTCAAACTTGGTGTGTGAGTGTAGAGATGATAACTGCAGCTGAATCAGCTAACCCTGAGCACACAACCATGAGACATCCAAAGCTAAGTACGACCCGCAGAGCAGCTGCCCAGCTTCGAAATGCACCAATTCATGACTGACATATCAAACACTGAAGCTAACCAGGAGCAGAATATTTACCAGGGAGAAGGGACAACAAACCTGATACCAGGCATCTTGCACTAACAATCACATAAACACATTGCCATCAGTAGTGGCACAGATATCCATACCTCGCTCTCGCCTGTGGGTGCAGGTGTTGGGCCGGGGACAGGTGCGGGTGCGGGTGCAGTCGGTGGCCCTCGTGCTCGTGCGCCTATTGCGAATCGTGTGTAGCAATTAGGGGATGTTCAATATACAAGTGGAGGAATACAGAATGGGATCCGATTCGTTTGGATATGCGAGCCGTACTGGCACAGTATCGATTCATGCTCGTAATGTATGATACAACCTAATAGAAATACGAGCGCCATGCGTACGTGCTAATTGGCTGGCAGGTCCAGCACCCAATCAAACACACCGAAATACACGCTCAATCTAAGCTTCACAACCACAGGACGCAGACAGCCCCACATCGATACCCACACGACTTACAACACATCCCCATCCGCACCAGACACACTGCCAAACAGACCCACCTCTGGCCGAGGGAGGCACACGTCCGTTATGATTGGCTGCCACGTCCAGCATGCCATCCAGGCGAATGGTGATCTGCCGCTGTATTTCTCCGTTCTCCATGAGTCGTGTTTGGTACCGCATCGACCCCGAGGCTCCCGGGAGGTGCGCGTGCCACTGCCGCACCTCCTCGCCCGCTGCAAGTAGGTAAAAGTATGTGCGTGGGCTGTGAGTGAGGTAGCTAAAAGTAAGTGCGTAGGCTGTGAGTGAGGTAGGCGAAAGTAAGTACCTGGGCTGTGAGTGAGGTAGGTAAAAGTAAGTGCGTAGGCTGTGAGTGAGGTAGGTAAAAGTAAGTGCGTAGGCTGTGAGTGAGGTAGGTAAAAGTAAGTGCGTAGGCTGTGAGTGAGGTAGGTAAAAGTAAGTGCATAGGCTGTGAGTGAGGCAGGCAAAAGTAAGTGCGTGGGCTGTGAGTGAGGTAGGTAAAAGTAAGTGCGTAGGCTGTGAGTGAGGTAGGCGAAAGTAAGTACCTGGGCTGTGAGTGAGGTGGGCAAAAGTAAGTGCGTAGGCTGTGAATGAGATAGGCAAAAGTAAGTACCTAGGCTGTGAGTGAGTTAGGTAAAGACAGGTGCCTCGGCTGTGAGCGGTCTCATTCTGGGGGATGGATATAGATAGCGTGAAGCTTTGTGTGTGGTGGTTAACTCGCATTCGAACACCTAAGTTTTGAGTTCAGACATGTGGGGATGGAGTTTGCACGATCTCGAGTCTGTCGGCGGGTACGAGTCGCATAAAACCTGTCAACAATAAGCACGCGTCGGTATTGGTACCTTACCGACAACGCAATATATCTATATATATATATATACGTGTGTGTGTGTGTGTGTGTGTGTGTGTGTGTGTGTGTGTGTGTGTGTGTGTGTGTGTGTGTGTGTGTGTGTGTGTG